ACACAATGGAGATGCTCCGAACGATCCGAGGGATCCGAAGGCAGGGCAAAAAGAACTCGAGTGATCTGAACATGTCTCTCGACCCCTTCCCTGACAAACCCCTTCAAGTTCATTGCTGGCCCTTGCACTGGTGTGAGTCGAAACGCCGTAGATTCCGCCGTAGATGCCACAAGGCCCGAAGCCCGTAAACCTTATCATAACATTCATAAACTTTCAAACCCCCTCAAGCTGTGTACGATCTACATAAACCCTGCAACCCGTGATCTCACTCGAGCAGCCTCGTGAGTGTGAGTCGAAACATGTCGAAACATGTCGAAACTATGCAAATTCAATCTGAACCATGGAGTCCCTTGAAGGCGAGAACCGGGGTCGTCGGGGTCAGCGTGCAGCAGATGCGGTTGCCGTCGGACTGAAGATCACCTTGGGCCAAGGGCGAGCGGAGTGGAGTGGTGCTTGGCTTTGACCGTTTGAGAAGCTCTTTGCGACTGTTGAGTCTATTTCTTCCGTTCTCTTTACATTATTACAAGACAGCACTGCCACCCTCAGCTGTGCAGGCATTGCTGGTATTGTGGGCGACGGTGGGAAAGAAGAAGCCCTACTGACCACCCTAACGTCACTTGCGCATCGGGCTGTGGCAGCTTTAGGCCTCAGCACGGGGCTCACAGCCGAGGGCCCTCAGGGAAAAGCTCACATCGACCCCGATGCCGGCTACCGCGCTGTATGCCACGTGGGCATTCAGCTTCACTTTGATCATGGCGTGTTGGCCTCGGGCCACGCGACAGCAAAGCCCAACAAGCCGGCATATCAAGGAGGTCAAGACTTCGCCAGCGTGCATGGCGCCAGCAAGACGATGCATAGTTCTGCAGCTTTCCAGCCTTCGCCACCTGCCCTTCACTTCGCAACTCTGGCTCAGCACCGATCTGATCGTGCCGATGTCGCCAGCTGCCCAGCTGCATTTTCATGACGTAGTGGTTTTCAAACAAGAACTGCACTTAAGCCTTTGTGCTGCGGTCATTCAAGTCCATAGTTTCCTTTGTGGCATTTGCCTGAACGTACTGTCCATACTCCAAGGTACCTGCACTCTAGTTCAAGCAAGTAAAGGCTCCGCAACGATATCCTGAAAGAGGGGTTTCAAAGAGGGGTTTTGAAGCTAGGCAAGCTTGTTCAGTCATTAGGGCTGCCGACAATGTGCAGTTTGCTTGCCTTCTGCCACGCCTGAAGTCGGGCTAAACAAGAAGTCCCGGTAGACTTGCCAGAGTGTCAGTCAGCACATACCTGCAAGAGCGGCACCTGCATGCAAACCCACTTGACAGTCCGACAGCATCAAACATGAAACTGTCAACCGGTGCCAGCAAGCTCGCCACGAGTAAACTTCCTGTGATTTTTCAGCTTACAACCGCGAGGAATCCCATTGATTTGCGGTCTTGTTTCTGTGTCCCGCAGACACATTTGGCACCCATGTACGTGATCCAACATGGCACATCGTGCCATGCTACTCGTATGTGCGTATATACGTAGCAACACGTATATGCGCACCTTGTCGGTCTCACACTGCTTGAGCTTTCGAAATAAATACGCTGAGGCTCCACAGGCGATCCTCGACGGCCAAGCGCTGCCTGGCTCCACCCCAAAAGACATGCATAGACCGCATAGACGGACCATAGGCCTTAGTTCTACCTTCATGCTCAATCTGACGGCAGCTTTTCTGGTCTTTCGCATGTTTCAACTTGTCAACATGCCATGCGGCCTTTAACAAGTTCTTAAAACGTCCTGAAGGTTTGAGGTGTTGAAAAGGCGGCTGTTCCATCACATGTTAAATCGGATTGCCAGGGCATGGGGCGAATAGGTAGATCTTGGGCACAACCGACTAATTCAGGTGGTGGAGCGTGTACGCTGCAGAGAGTACCCTTTTTCTCGTGGGTTTCAGCTGCATGAAGGGCCGTTTAGGGGTTCATGTTGGGAATAGGCACCCAGCTCAGACTGGGTTGGAACGAGGCATAAGCATGCTTGGGAGCCTGGGGTAGCCACGGGATGCGAGCGTGGCTGCGGGGGAATCCACTCGCACTTCAGCTCCGACCCCTTTGCTTTCCTGCGGTGCACAGGGCGGAAGGAAATAAAGAAAGAGACAGTGACAGACAGAATGCAAAATGACCGATATGCTCACCACTCCTCAATTCCACCTCTAGTGTCTGAGCGTCTTCTCGAGAGCCATGGGAAGGGAAGGAAGGAGGAAGGGAGGGGAGAGTGAGACGAAAGACAAACATAGCAGAAGGAGAGATGGAGCAAACGGCAAGAAACGACAAGACCCCGAGACAAGAGGCAAAAAGAGGTTGCCCGTTTCTCTCGGATATGTTTTAATCTTTTCTCTCCTAGCTTCTTTTGGTTCATCTTTTCGGGCGGACAGGGTTGGAATGAAAGAGGAAAGGGGTCGAGGCGAGTAGCTTGGGCCGTCCATTCCCCATGTTTGTCCTCGTCATACAGAAGAGAAGACAGGTTAGTGACGAGAAGGAAGGCTAAGCTCTTCTCTTCCCTGACTATCCCTTCATCCTTCTTTTTCCTTTTTTCCACTCTTCTCCTTCTGCCGTCCATGCCAGATTACTCAAAGGATTGCATGCGACTTCCCTGACCCTCTGCTTTCCGTTCTTGTCTGCTGGCTCACTCAAAAGAAGAGAGAGAAACAAGGATAACCAAAATCATGTTTCCTCCCTCTCATCGTCTGCTGTAGCAGACATGTCTGCAAGAAGTTCGCATGGAATTCTAAGATTAAAAGGTGTCGGACTTAGTGCTTGGCCACTCCCCTTAAGCCCCACAGACGATGAAGAAGCAGAAGAAGAAGAAGATGATGATGATGAGGAAGAAGAGAAGAGAGATAGTGCGCGAGAGAAGAAGAAGAAGCCCCACAAAGAAAGCAAGAGTGCTGATGGAAGGAAGGAAGAGTGTCAACGCCCCGCCCTTGGTTGCAGACCAGTGCGATGTTTACCCTAGCAGCTCGCCGTGGAGCTTCGGCCTTCAGGCCAGAGAGGCAAAGAGAGACCGTCCGTTCACTCTCCGGAGTTGGTGGCGAAGGGGGTTGCGGAGGAAGATGCCGTAGGATTTGGGGAAGGGTCCGCGAGATCAGGGTTGTTTTCCCGTCCTTGTACATCACGCTTCTGCGCAGCGCCCCTAGACAGAGAAAGAAGAAGCAAAAGACAGCAAGAAAGGAGGAAGAAAGGAAGGGACAAGTCAAGACAAGAACAAATAATCAACATTTCTTACACCAAGCTCTCTGTCAACTAGAGCATACAGGTCCACCACATACGCCCATGCTTCAGGTGGTGCCTGTTTAGTCTTCTGGGTCCTCCCTTTCCCAGCCGACCAAACCTTTTGCCTAGGTGCACCCCATGATGAAGCACCACAGACCTCGCTGGAAAGTTCTGCCCGTGTGGGCACCAGACGCTGCTCAGCCTGATTGTCGCAATCGAGTACCGGTGTTAACGCTACAGCTAAAGCAGCATCGGTGCCCAAATAGCTTTATCATTCATTCCCTTCTCCAACAGGGCTTGTCATAATGGACACGTTACACATGCGCCTCAGCAGCCGTGCAGGCCCTTCAGCCTTAGAAGGGCAACCATCTCGCACAAACAAAAGAAGTTTTGCCCGAAGGAAGAAGCCAGTGGCACAAACCACAAGCTTTATGCACAAATCAGGTGCTTGAGCAAACAAGCACGCAAGACCGAGGCAGCCAAAACAACCAAGCTAGTTTCCCCACATACCTCGCCACAGGCTTAGCACCTGCCCAAGGTAGGGGGGAAAGTTGGCTTCCTGCTTGGCAGCGAGGCAGAAACGAGGAGGGCCACTCAAGAGAGGGCTCCGTTTGCACCCCCTTTGCATTCCTTAAACAACACATACCCAAGGCATCAAGAAGCAACGATCGTTGAACAGGGGAATACAGCGAATACAGTGACTTCCGGGTTGGCGCATGGCAAGATCTGTCAAGCGGAGGCCAGCACAGAGCAGCTGATCGAGCATTGGCGGGCAATCTGCCAGCGCGTACAGGGCATCGTTGACGCAAGAAGTGTGCCTGGGAGTAGAAGTCAGAAGTTCGAAACTAAAGTCCGGTGCTTCCTGCTCAGGCCTGCAAAGAGGATCACTTACTGAGTGGCACAAAGTCTGTCACCCCCGGGCTTGCCATACACCCAGCGTCACTGCAAGCCTAGACTCGCATGCTGCTTGGTTGCAAGAGAGGACATATTGTTCGGCGCAGTGTGCTGATTTCTTTTTACTGGAAATACATTTGGGCCAAAGCGGGCTGTGTGGCTTCTGTAGCAAGGTGAAGGCGTTTGAAGAGCTGCTGGCCCATCAAGAATTTGAGGCGGGGTCCCTATCCCTATCCCTATCCATTGAGGGGGCGGGGTCAGGGTTTAGGGTTTACGGTTGGTACCCAAGATTGGCCTAAGGCGTTCTCCCTCATGTTTCGCTCTCAGCGCTTTGCTGCACCAAGCTGTAGGTTGTTCAGTTGGCTTTGCGCGCCCTGCGCGCCGCTGTCAAGAGCCGTGTGGCTTGCACCCTTCGTGGTGATGGCGCCTTGTCTGCGGAATTGGACCCTGGAAAGCCGGGAAAGCTTTCTTAAGCTACGTCTGGGTTGCGTTGACACTGCGTTGGCAAGTCGGCCGTGCTTCATAGATTCCTTTGCAGTTTCCTACAGGTTTTTGTAGTGCTTTTCATCCCCCCCCCCCCCGCCCACTGATTCTACGTTAGGGCAGGTGCAATTGGTGAGCATTGCTTTCGAGCTTCGGTCAGGTCAGCCGCCGACATCCAGCCACTTCAATACCTTGCTTTCTGCCGTGCAGCTGGCCTTAGTGAACAGCAGAGGGGCTCGCTTTAAAGTGGCCCCTTTGACATCGGCGGAAGCGGAAGCAGCAGAAACAAAGCGTGCAATGAGACGAGCACCCGATGCCTTGCATACATGCAGTGCTCCAATGGGTTCCAAGTTCCAAGTATCTACCCGAGCTCAACGTGAGGGGCAAGAGGCCGCGGAAAACGCCAAAGCCGACCATCGACTGCAGCCTTGCAGGCTCACCATACCATGGCTCACCTCTTGTGTCCTTCTGACAGAGGGTGAATGCATGGCTTTCAATGGCTCATTCCGTCATTTGTTTTGCCCAGATGTCTCGTGTGCCGGAAGTGTGCGGCTCACACCCCAGAACATCAGCTCGTGCCGCTTTGCACTCCTTTCACGTCTTGTGGTTGTGTTGCATGGTTGCATGGATGCACAGGAAAAGGTTGCCTGGAGTGAGCGATCGGCGCATCTCTTACTTACAATCCGGCAAGTCAGGCAACTCAGCAGGTTTGTCTCGAATCTCCTCAGGTGTGTCCCATTTGTGGGATGCGAGTGCAGTGGTTGGCTGATGAAAGGGTGCGATGCTCCATGATTCTGCACTTCATGCAAACAGCAGATGCCTTCATGGTTGGCAAGGCCTTGATTGCCACTGGCTGGCGAGTGACGCGACCAGCTGCTAGCAGGACGCACGGAAGCATTCAGAAACGATCATGGATGCATTGGCCGCTGCTGCTAGCTGCTGGCCAACGGCCGCCTGTTTGCTGGCTGAGCTGAGGCAAGACAAGTGTGGGATCTGTGTCAGTCGGGCCAAGTGAACATGGCATCCGGTTGCGGATTGCCAACCAACATCGTGTCACTGCATTTTCCTCGGCGGTGCACCTGACGCACAGCGCTTGTGCACGCATAGTTTGTAGATGGTTGTAGTTACTTTGTAGCTTATGTTCGTTTTAGAGTGCAGGTCAGACCGGGAGCCCCGCACAGTGCAAAGCCGCACCAGATGTCATTGCGCCTGAAAAAAACCAAGGCCGCATCCTGCACCAAAGATTCGTCATGCTCGACTGATTATTCATGTTCACCACTCATGAGAAGCTGCAGGTGCGCCTTCTCATCACCCTGTGTTGTTTGTTATCCTTGGCAACGCTTCCCGCAATCTTTCAAATCGAATGTATGTTTAGCATAAGAGTTCGCCGTTGATAACTCCACACTCGCTGAAGTAGCCGGGTTCGTAGCAAGGAGTGGAGAAACAATGGCAAAGCCAAAAGCCAAGCGCGGGAACTTTCGCCGAGAGAAGCGACGATAGAAGGAGCCGTCACAATCAAGACATCAGCGGGACGAAGATGTGGGTCAGAGGGCAACTATCCAATTGGTTCCAAACAAGGTCAGACCCCTGCCAACTCCGCATACCGACAAATAGGAATACGCAATGTGTTGTGCAGCAATTGCTTTTCCCCGATGCCATGCATGCCAAAGAATGGTGTCCACGATCATCGCGCGCTTGAGCACACATCGCGCAACCACCTCATCAATGATGGGCATACCCAAGTGCAAGCGCACGGCATCTCGCAATGCTCCATTCTGAAGAAGCGGATCCGCCGTCATAAACGTAGAAGATATGCAAAAGTAGCACATCGATTCTTTATATATGATAAAGTCGGCGAAAATAAGGCTTCATTCCCTATTCTTGCACTGCAGGGGGATCCGGAAAATTCCGGGAATTTTTAAGCTTATTGTCTAAAAATCCTAGGAATTTTGGGAATCACCGGATCTGAAAATTCCCGGAATTTTCGGAATCACCCGGATTGAGGTTGAGGCTTTCCGGGTTGGATTTAAGGTTCCAGTGCAACAGTGATGACGTGGGTGCCCCTTCACCTTCAAGGAAATCTTCAAGGAAATCTCTTGGTCCAGGGTAGTTCCGATGACGGTCGCCGCCCGCCAGCTGTTCAAGGGGGTTCGGCCTCACCATCACATCTCAGCAACTCGAAAAATCCTAGGAGTTCAAAATTCCGGGACTTTTCGGGATCCCCCGGGTTCAGGACTTTACACTTTACGGTGTAGGGTTTTGGGGTTTAATAGAAGTTGTATTCGAAGAGGCCTGGATGCAAAATAGAAATTGTATAGGGTTTGTGTCCGGAGTTTTGTCGTGTTTTGGTTTTTTTTTTGCTTTTGCTGTAATGGTTTGGGTTCTGTCGGGTGTGGTGGGGGGTGGGTGGTTTTGGGGTGCTGAGGGGTTGGGGCTGAAACCCCTGAGGTTTTGGGGGGTTTTCCCGAATGCTCATGGCGGTGGTCCCGTGGTGGTGGTCCGTGGTCCCCTGGTGGTTCAGCGTGGTGGTGGTCCCGTGGTGGTGGTGCTCCTTTGGTGGTGGTGGTCCCGTGGTGGTGGTCCCAGGGTGGTGGCCGTGGCGGTGGTCCGTGGCGGTGGTCCGTGGTGGTGGTCTCGTGGTGGTGGTTCCGTGGTGGTGGTCCCGTGGTGGTTGTCTCGTGGTGGTGGTCACGTGGTGGTGGTGGTCTCGTGGTGGTGGTCCCGTGGTGGTGGTCCCGTGGTGGTGGTCCCGTGGTGGTGGTCCCGTGGTGGTGGTCCCGTGGTGGTGGTGGTCCGTGGTGGTTGGTCCGTGGTGGTGGTCCGTGCCGGGGGTCCGTGCGGGTGCTCTGTGTTGGTGGTCGTGGTGGGTGGTCTCGTGGTGGTGGTCTTGTGGTGGTGGTCTCGTCGTGGTGGTCTTGTGGTGGTGGTCTCGTGGTGGTGGTCTCGTGGTGGTGGTCCGTGGTTTATATTATATCATATTTTGCGATGAATATGATAGTTTTCTATATTCGGGATCGTGGCTCTTATTAGTTTGTTTTTTGTTTTTGTTGTATTGGTTTGGGTTTTGTTGGGTGCGGTGGGGGATGGGTGGTTTTGGGGTGGGAGGGGCTGGGGCTGAAGGATTGAGGGGGGTGTGGGGAAGGTCGAGGGCTTGGATTTGGGGTTGTGGTTGAGGGATTGGGATTTGAGGGGTTAGGATTGAGAGGTTGAGGAGGATTTGATGAGGGGTTGTTTAGGGGTTGAGGAGAAATGATTGAAGGGAGGGATTGTTGAAGGGAGGCATTATTGAAGGGAGGAAATCTTGGAGGGAGGGGATTTTGGTGTTATTGAGAGGCGAGGTTATTGAGGGATTATTGTGTGATTATTGAGGAAGTGT